AAAATAAATGCGTTTGGACTGCAGATGGCCCACAGAGGTATTCTGATTTATAGTGTGTTGTGGTGCATTACAGCACAAAGTGATATATCAAATGGAGTTGGGTGTGTTCAGGTAAATTGGTAGTACTTGCACTACGTACAGCAAAGTGAGGCTGAAAATCTGGTTCCTGTTGTTTAGCTCCGTTCCCTGTAAATCAAGTTGATAGAAATGGATTTCACAGTGGTTGAGTAGGGCTGGATAGATATTATGTACATCGGCAGTCAGATGAATTATTGGACAAAACTTTATTACTTGCTGTTTATGGCAATCAGTTCATCCATTAGCTATACACTCTTATCCTTTGGAGGGTGGCTGTAGATGGGGGAGGGGAGACCTGGAACCAATCCCAGCTGACAACCGTTCACCAGCAGACAACCATTCACTCTCACACCTACGTGCAATTTAGAGTCGCCAATTAACCTAATCTGCATGTCTTTGGACTGTGGGAGGAAACCGGAGCACCCAGAGAAATCCCACTCAGGCCCAGGGAGAACATGTAAACTCCACACAGGAAGGCTACAGGAAGGCCGACAGGTTCAAACCCAGAAACTTCTTGCTGTGAGGGGACAGTGCTAACCTACTTCTACGGAGTTAAAAAAAACTGATGGGTCTGCTGTTTCAATTAAAGGTGTAATAAATACAAACAGAAGTTTTGTTAATTGTTCGAGTTTTACAACATTTTTTGAATCGCACTTGGATGTAGTCTGAATTTTGGCACAATTGAGAGTCAGACATTGTGGTTATTGCAAGGAATCTCTGACTATTTGCTGAAGGCCACACAGGTTGAAATATTTTGTGTGAGTTTTGTGTTAAATGTTAGATTATGTTGCAAATAATATACTGGAAAGTTAGCTTGCTCCTGTCTTTCCCTACACTGTCTGCAACGTATAAAGTAAAGAGGTTTGATTTGAACACATTTGCATTTTAACCCTAAAAACCTTCAGAATATCTTTTTTTCGATGACACGAAAACGACTCACATAAGATCACATAAAAGAAACAGAGGCTAATGCATTTTTATGCCATTTGCACCGCAACATTGGCTTCAACCCTACATTAATTTGTATTCCTGGGAAAAAAGCATTATGTATGGTGGTTCAATTTTTCACAACTGCCAGGAAAACTGTAAAAAATATATGCAACTGCAATCAGAGTCTACAATATAAAGAGTTGCTACAAACATCCAACTTAATTTTGTCAGTGTGTTCAAGGTAAGTCTCGGAGGAAAGACTTGTAATGATATATTCCATATGCTAATAATTTAAAATAAATAGTATAGTAGTAATAATAGTATATAATGGATAGTAAAATTAATACGTTATGGATGTCGTATAAATAACCTTCCATTCTAATAAGAAACTATACTGTTAATTTATGTTTCATATACTTCAGAGGTGTTAAACAAGGCATAGGAATGAAGAACAACTATATTAACATTGAGAATTCTGTAAATAAAAACGGCTTCCCACATTTTCTTTGCACCCTGCCTACATGTGACAGGTTTAATTTCAGAATAAATGCAGCATTCATGGTGTCAGTATTAAAATGCAGCATGTAAGATGCTTAATGCTATAATATGTTGCTATAATAAGCTGCTCTAATATACTGTTCATGGTATTTTGGTAGAGCTGGCTTATGTTATTTAACTATGTAACTACTACTTAAGCCTAACAACTTACTTCAGGGAATGCTAATGTTTTGACTTCCAAACTTCCTACATGACTGCTGATACAAGCCCTTATAATGAGACATTCATTAAGTCAGAGGGAGAAATCCTTGAATAACGAGTTATGTTATCACGTGCAATTATGTTTAAAATGTATGCAATATAATTTTATATTTGTGTGGTAGTAAACTGAAAGCTATGTAATGTAAAAATAGAAGAGAACAGAGAACCAAGTCTTTCAGGGCACAAAAAAAAAAAAAATCAATTACAATCAATAATAAAGGTAATATAAAATGATGCTGTTTCAGCAAAAACACACAAGGCTGAAGGCACAAGGCTAAATGTATGAAATCCATTATATGAATATAATCCTCAAGGCACATTTTATAACATAACGAGTAGGGTAGTTTAATAGTAATCAACTTCCAGTAATGGATAATAATTAAAAATTCATAATTTGCTAATTTTTTACTTTAAATCTTCACCTTCCATGGTCATTTCCTAATGACACATGACAAAGGAGACATTAAAAGTCACCTAAAATTAAAAGATGTAAGGAGTATACTGAAACACCAACATGCCACCATATTATGATTTTGATGAGCATTCGCAATTAATTCAAATACATATGAAGCATACTCATCTTAAATGTACACTGAGGGTTTAATTTAACCTATTAGCACATATACACTATGTTTGTGTTTGTTTGAGCAGTTTCAAGACCCAATAACCCCCTCCTGAATTTAATCAAAACAATATCCACTTAAGGCATTCTTGTCACCCTGTCTATGCGGAAAAAAACTGCACACTTAATTAGCTGCGAAGAACCACGATATTAAGTCCAATTTCAGCCTTCAGCTTTTTCATACAAAAACACTGCCAGTAGCCCTTTTCTGCTTAATGACAAACCTTAGTAACACTGTGGTGCAAATAAGACTGGAGAGGCACAAAACACGACTCATTCAACCAGCCAGAATGTGGGCGTTTTCATTATAACAGAGTTATCTCCGCCACCCAATTGGAGTGAAAGGACTTGATTAGAGAGAGAGAAGCTAATGACACAGTGAGGGCGGAATGTCACTCAATGCACATTAAACATTTAGACATCTGGTGAAAGACTGTGTTACTATAATGTCCATGTCCTGCTTACAGCCACTAGCAACCACAAAGTATATAAGGCCAGGGAGTGACAAGCTGACTGATATGGCATACAATTAGGGACTGTTAAATAGCAATGTCAATTAAAGCTTCTTGGATTCACTTGTCTTCACTTCCATTTCAAATTACAATCCCCCCCCCCCCC